TGGACTTCAACTCTCCAGAGTCATGAGGGAATAAGTGTGTGTTGTTTCAAACTATCCAGTTTGTGTACTTTGTAATAGTAGCCCTAGAAAACCAGTGCGGATTTCGGTAATGCACAGGGTTGATTCTTACTGTGTCAGTGTAATTGCTTCTTTATTCATATTGATATTAAAAAAAACTTGGTGTCAAAAGCCATCAATAGAGTAGTACAGAGAGTAGCTGCTTCCTCAAATAGCTGGTACTTAAATTATCAACTGCATTGCCAGGTTATTAAAAATAAAACAAAAAATAAGATCCATAGCTGCAAAATAGACGGACTTTACAAGATATTTATAAAGCATGAAAGAGGGGGGAAATGACAATTCCAGGTGAACTCACCTTACTCTTTGTATCCCAGGACTCTTTAAATGGGGTGGACTTCTGTCTCCTCCTCCTTCTAAAACACACAGTCAACAGGGAACATCAAGGCGCTGCAGTCCAGCATGGTGCCCCTCGGCGTGTCCCCAGCCCACGTGCCCTACTGAACATGTGCTCGTGACCAGCCACAGGTGCTCCACACGTATTTGTCCAGCATTCTAGTGGCTGACACTCACTTTGCACACCTCTCCCACACTCCCTGGAGGGTGCACACAGCTCCGCAGCTGTCCAGCAGTGTCCATGGTAATTACTCTCCTTGAGAACCCACGTTAGAAGGGCTTCCAGCCTTCTCCATGGAATCTTGGACTTAGAGATTCTCATGATTAAAACATGTTTGAAAGCCAACAGTGAAACTTCTTAGGTGACTGCACTCACAGAGCTCAGTGTTATAAAACCTTCCAGGTGTTATTCTATATAACCTGTATGGATGATTTTCTTCAGATCTCATCAAAACTCTAAACTTAACAGGTTAGGAAACGGAGGTGCAGAGAGAAAGGATCACGCGACTCGTTACATTACAGGTAGCATCGGCCCTCAGCCCCCCCGCCCAGCTCTGAGGCTTCCCTTCTCCCAGAGTCACTTTGATGTGGCCGGCAACCATCTGCAACCACAGTACTCCACAAACTCTCCACAGTTCCAATGACGCTTATGAAACCTAACTTCTGGAGAAATCTTAAAAGAGCAAACACAAGAGAAGGAAAGAAGAGGCTACTGTAGTTGAACAAAGGAGAAATAACATATCCAAGTGTGAAGACAATTATTCTGGGGAAAGTCAACCTCTCTTCTTCCATCTCCCTAAAGCAAAGATTCCTGTTGAACAACGGAAGAGGTGGATTCCATG